CAAATCAATTCTTTTAAATGAAACGAAAAAGGCATCCAACGTCATTTGTGACACATTTATTTCAGTTCCAGGCTGACTTCCCTGGGACATGTAGCATGATACATGATTGTTACTTGGCAGTTGGGGCTTTGCCCAATTTTAAAAACAGTGTCACCTAATTGTAATTATAAGGGTGAATCTGTTAATATTCTTCTGCAGCATTTTTTAGAGTTACATATATTTCTTCACCAAATCAAATGTCATCGGCGAGTTATCTTTTATGAAGGATAATTTGTCCTGTCCTCATTAACATTCACAGTCAAGAGTTTAGGCTGGGCTTCCCTGTTGGTGCAGTGGTTAAGAATCCGCCTGCCAATGCAGGGGACACGGGTTTGAGCCCTGGTCCAGGAAGATCCCACATGCCGCGGAGCAACTAAGCCCATGTGCCACAACTACTGAGCCTGTGCTCTAGAGCCCGCGAGCCACAACTACTGAAGCCCACGCGCCTAGAGCCCGTGCTCCACAAGAGAAGCCACCGCAATGAGAAGCCTGCACACTACAATGAAGAGTAGCCCCAGCTCATTGCCACTAGAGAAAGCCTGCACGCAGCAACGAAGACCCAACGCAGCCAAAATAAAATAAATAAATAAATTTATGGAAAAAAAAAAAAGAGTTTAGGCTTATATTAGGTCCTTCTTCTGAGGAGCTTGAAGCATCCCAGACTGTGGGGAGATGGGAGGGGGTGTCACACATTCACCTCTCACTGTGATACAGGGAAGTGATTCACAGAATTTGAGTCGCGCTCGCAGCCAGAGACATCGATTTCTACAACCTCTCTACCAAACCCCTGCTTCTTAAGCATTAAAATGTTCTCCTTAAGCTCTGGGTGTTTTGTGGGTATGTTTCAGCCAAGCTAACCACTTTCCTGCCAATACTGACTTCCCCGTGAATTCTTTGAAGATTACTGAGTCAGAGAGACCAAGTATAGCTAAAGCCTCCCAGACTTTTTTTTTTTTTTTTAAAGAAGATGTTGGGGGTAGGAGTTTATTAATTAATTAATTTATTTTTGCTGTGCTGGGTCTTCGTTTCTGTGCGAGGGCTTTCTCTAGTTGTGGCAAGTGGGGGCCACTCTTCATCGCGGTGCGCTCACTATCGCGGCCTCTCTCGTTGCGGAGCACAGGCTCCAGATGGGCAGGCTCAGTAGTTGTGGCTCACGGGACTAGTTGCTCCGCGGCATGTGGGATCTTCCCAGACCAGGGCTCGAACGCGTGTCCCCTGCATTGGCAGGCAGATTCTCAACCACTGCGCCACCAGGGAAGCCCTCCCAGACTTTTAATGCACTAAGTGCCCGTTGAAATTAAAAGTTCTTCACCAACTTATATTTCTAACAACGTTGCACATAAATATGCATCAAAATGTGTACTTAAGGGATACTCTGTTCGACTGTTCATCCACAGGAAATCAGAATGAGGGAGTCTGCGGCTTACATTCATCAATTCACTTTACAAAATCAGAACCTCCATGAGAGGTTCACAGGCTCCGCTTTCAGAATCCTGCTTTCCTGACCGGCCAGCTCAGGCTGGCATCTGTGGAAAGACTAACCACACTCCACAGACTATCAGAAATAGAGACACATTTGGGTGACAAAGGCGGCTTTGCAATTGCATTTTATTTTTGTGATCTCATTAGTATCGAGATGATCAATACTAAACATGTATTTGAAAAACAACAGCCTGTAAACTATTGAAACATACACGATATTGTAGTCAGGTGAAGGGAACTTTAAGAAGCAAACGTTCATGGCTTTTAAGACGGTCTTTCCCCCACAGTTTCACTTACTTACTTGCCCTGCCACATGGTCTGTTCCTTTAGAGGAGCAAGAAATCAAGCTAGGTAACTTGGTCAAACGTGTGGGTAGAAAAGATGTGAAAAAATTAGAAAAAGGGACTCTCCTGTTCAGTGGAATTGCTTGTGGTTGCTTACGGACTTAGGGAGGTAACCCCAATGCCTCACAGGTCGGTGTACTGGTCTACAGAAAGCAGGTTGACGGCAATTTTGTGGTTGTTCATTTACCATTTATTGTTATGCACATACACCTCATGAGCACCAGGTGGCGATGTCCTCTCACAGAGCAACACCAAGGACGTCAAAAGACGTTGGTTTCAAACAATGATTTGCGACAGGTCATTCACCTGCCCTCTCCCAGACCCACCTCCTCCCCACTCCCCATCAATGCCAGTGGCCACAAACAAGGAAGGAGGACAGGGTCCTTTCTTGTACCACACGGGACCTTCCCCCAATCCTCTCATGCCCACAACAGTGCAATACCAGGACGAGCACTTTTGACCAAGTATAAAACCACAGAGAAGTCCAAGCTTTACAAAAGGGGGATGAAAACACAAAGGCACACACAACTACACATACACAATTCATCTTTTAAGGGATGAGCATATAACAAGGTTTGTCTCCAATCCCATGTGTCATTCCTGGAGACTCAGGAAGGGAGAAACTAGGCTGCTGGTGCTAAGACGATGAAAGGAAAGGCATGAAATTCCCTGCACGGGGCAGGGAACACAGCGGGGCTTCCAGTGGGAGAACTTCCTGTGTCAAAGTGATGGATGCACAGGGCCTCTGCTGGAGGGGGTTCTCACCGAACCCGAGACTGTACCTTTCCAGGTTGGCACAAGAGAGAGGGCAAAGGAATGCCTCCCGCCTTGCCTGACACAGTGTTAGAAAGGAAGTTTAAGATTCCTTCCTCTGAGAAGGTCCCACAAATAGAGCAGCATGAGGATGAGGTAGTCCCTACTGAGCATCCTTAGAGAGCAAGAGACCCGGGGCGCCGACACTATCAGTGCCCTAGAGCGGGGGAAGGCTTGAAGGTACGAAGATGAACTCTCAAAGGGGCATCGCCCCTGGCACACTGCCTGCCTTACATGTTCCCTGCAGCCTCTTCGTTCTGCTCCTGGCCGTCCCCTTCTCCACCCACACCTTCTTCTGCCTGATCCAGGGAAATCAGTCTCTCCCCACGGCCCTCTGCCGGTTGTCAAAGCATTCTTCTTTCTTTCCCATCTCCTACTGCACAGCTCTATCTACCTGCTGACGCTCAGTCTGTTTCCGCATCCCCTGTGGGTGAGGAACCCAGGGGATACTTGACAAGGGTGCTGAATGAAGGTAGGGATGGTACGAGGCTTATAATGTGGCTCATCTCTGGCACAGCATAGCCTTAGCCTGGCAAAGGGCATGGACGTGACATCAAAAGCTGCAGGGATGTCTCTTCCGTTGAGTTCAGATGTTCCCTTCCCCACTGTGGCAGGAAACTGCCCCATGGTGCGGTGAACTCAGGCCCTGGTCTGCTGGTGAGATAAATGACTGACGGGCGAGACTGGAACTCAGTCAGCAGGAGCAATTCCTCCTGTCAGAGCTCCCTCTGCTGGTGCCGATTAACACCCCTATAGCCATTCGGAAAAGGAAGGGAGCGTGACCCAGAAGCTGGGTGACACCCAGGTGAGCCCACTGGCCACCCGACAGTCAAAACGTCCGCAGGCGTTTGGAGCAAGCAGCTCGGAGCCCGCTCTCCGAAAAGCTTGGCTTCTGCTTCTAACTTAAATACCATTTTTGAAGGTTCTTCCATTTCCATCTTTCTAGCATCGAAAACCTTCCAAGTACTATGAAATATATATGCATATATATACGTCAAACCCCCCAAACATGAGGTATATAAATTCAAATTAGAATCCAGAGGAACTTCCCCCAAACACGTAGTTCAAAGAACCCACTTTCAAAGGGGAGGATTGGGTTTCCCTTCTTGGTCCCCCTTCTCTCCCCCCTGGCACACAATGCCTTCCTTAACGGGAGCTGAAGGGAATGTCAGGGAGGGGATAGACAGGGTCTTGGGTCACAACCCAGACGCAGGTTGGACTGGACCCTAATGTGGCCCCAATCCTGCTGGGAATGGGCTACAGTCTCCCTCATGCTCTGGGTCATCCTGTAATCGTCGAGGGAGGTGAAGGGCCCAGCACCACCTCCGGGCTCTGATTAGCAAATGTGCACGGAGACAGATTGAAGCCCTCGTAGCCTGGCTCAGATCTCATCTTGAAAGAGATATACAAAGGGCTCAGTCCAGCCCTCACCTTACACAGCTTCCCAAGCACAGTTCTGTCTTCTTCTGGGTCCAAGTTTACTATGGGATGGGCTGGCAAAGGGTGAGGCAAGTCAAGGGCCCACAGCCTGGCTGTTTCATCCCCATCAGAATGGGGGTTTGACATCTTGCAAAACAGAGTGTGAGAACACGACGGGACCCTCCACCAACCTGGCCCAGCAGTGCACACATGCGCACACACGCACATGCACATACACATATATGCACACACACAGATGGCACAGAGCCCAGCCTGGGCTCCACTCACAGTGACTGGATGAAACTCATGGAATCTTTGAGCTGGTCTGGGATGAGTTGGGAAGAAGGCTATGGGCTCCTCTCCCTGAGGACTGTTCAGGTGCTAAGTTGGATACGGTCTCGGATCTGATCAGAGAGGGGCCGGAGACATCGTGGGATGCGGCCCCAGAGAGGAACCCCAGAGCCTATCCATCTGGATGCCTCTTTGGACAGGTCAAAGGTGGGAGGAGGAGGGAGGGCCCAGTGAAGCCAGGGCGATGATGAGAGCTGAGCCTGCTCCCAGGAGCCTGTGCCACCCTGACCCTCTTGGCAAGACGTGCTTCCTTGCTGTACACCGAGGCACGGATTTCTGATGTCACAGCAGTTTCGCGGTTCACCACTTTGCCCCCCCCCCCCCC